TACAGCGCCCGGGGACCAACTCCAGATTGAAATGCAGTGCCAGGTCAAACGGCACTGACTGGAGAACCTACTTAACATGTTTCTGATGGCGGGGGAAACCGGAGCACCCGGAGGAAACCTACACAGACACGGGGAGAACATGCAAACTCCACACAGAAAGGCCACAACAGTGACATAATGTTTCACAATGTTTAGTCCAACTAATAGTCCAAGAATTACAAATAGATAAAAATTACAAGGAAAAGCAGTTCCTTCTCACATTTGAGAAAGTGGAACCATGCTGAGGTCGATAAACACACAAGAAGACAAACACCAGGATAATGCTAGGATGCTGACACAAAACGTCAAGGCAAACTGGCAACTGACACAAAGGGGAAGTGGGTGTTTATAAAGAGGCACAGGTGGAGCACATTAGGACAAGGACAGGTAATCACACAAGGCGGGAAGGCAGACAAAGACCTGAAACATGACACAAGACACAAGATGAGTAATTCAATAAAATAAAACAAAATGGAAGTGGCTACTGACAAAAACTGAATGCATGACCTATCTGTGAGAGCTGGGCAAGACAGTTACTGTGTAAATTAAAGTACAAAACTTCAAAACAACAACAGAACAAAATATTCATCACCAATATCTATACTGCACCAAAAAAACCCATATACCATACGTTAACAATTCCTGGATCAGCGGTGACCTTACCCTAACCTAAAACCAAGTGTCCACCCTAAAAGTTAATGATTTACATTATGGTGACTTACATTTCCCCATATGGAAGGTGAGTCCCCACAATGTGACTGTGTAAACAGATTTATGTTCCCACAACATTAGTATTACCCGCCCACACACACACACACACACACACACACACACACACACAGGGTTGTCCATCCAGACTGTTCCGTGTAATTTCATATTCTTGGATTTTCCTGTAATATTCACAGACCTTTCCATTTTCTTCAATGTATCAGCTGTATTTGACTAACCTCTCAGCTGTCGCCTTGTTAGAAGGTTGGTGGATGGAAGTCATCCAGACACACGCCAGTGAGTGAACTGATCCTTTTCCTCTTTGATTACTTGGGCTTTCTGCATAACATCAGAATCATGTCAAGAGCCAGGAGTACAGGTCAGCCCACATGATGCTGCTAAAAGTTTCCATTTCCAGAGCTGAGCAACTTTTCTTCTGTCTGTGACAGTGATTCAGTGATTCGATGACGAAACACAGCCTGCCTGTGTTTTTTTCATGCTTTAATCTGTTGTACTGCTAAAAGTTTGAACTATTGTAGCTGTGGTTTGAATTATGCATGCCATTCATTATTCATGCACACTCATAAATGCATTATTCAATGTGCAAAATGTCTGGTGTTCATTCACACAATTATAGCTATGGTGGAACACTGACATTTTATATAACAGTTCATGAATGGTTAACCACTAATACTGGTGGCTCCGGGTAACCAGTCATCCCCAATCATTTGGAAAACAACATGGTTTTCTCATCCCTCGGCTGAACTCGTCTAACCACAGTTCAACCACGAGCTCTGTTAATGAGCTAATGTCTCTTCTCTCTGGAGTCCATAGCACGACAAGATGTCTCCCTTGGGGGCTTTAATCAATGGATTGGACAGCTCTCCCTCATCTTAGAGACCCTCAGGGCAAATGCAAGGCCAAAGAGAATGTGGCTACTACCCAGTAAATCTGACAACAGATGAGTCCCATGGTGATTTGCACCAAGTTTAACTTATTGCCATCTTGTCCCAAACTGTGTCATTGCTGGCATGAAGAAAGTCCTAACTCAGAGCTAATGTGCTCGGTCATCGATTCTGTGAAGAAAATGGACAAAACTGTGATGTTAACGGCTACAGAACATCACATAAGAAACATATATGATGGAGAATATATTACGTAATTAAGTCATTGTGGGTTCAAGCCCTATATGACTGTGTGAATTCTCTTGTTAAGTTGGATTTTACTACTTGGTGAAAATATTTCTCTCTCATTTTTAATTGTCTGTTTCCATTGGTGGTTTTCCATTTGAAATATTCAACTTCTGACCTCCAAGCGTTCCAGGTGCACGATGGCAAACGTAAACCAAATTTGTGGCTGACTGTGACAAACTGATATTTCTTGCGCACACACAATTGAACCTTCAGCAGTGCCCATGGTGGTAATTAAAGAGATAGTCGTTTTAATAAAAACGAGTGACATAAATACTTTGAACTTTGTTTCGTGACAAGCTACTAATACTGCAGACATATTTCAACATCAATTTACATGCAGAACAGGTTTTACTAAATGACAGTATGTACTATTTTAATTAAATACAGGCAAATATATTTTTCATTGCTTTTTAGTTGAGGGTTTACTATTTACAGTGTCGTTGGTGTGTGATGTCAGACAACTGCTTCTTCGTGACGAAAGGTGTAGATGGATTGACAAGTAGGAACTCTGACTTTGGGTGGCATTCCATTGTACTTTTTCTAATAGGACGTCGGACATTTTCGAGATCCAAGTTGTCTGGGGAGCAGAATATCCCTGGCTGAACTGGTAATCTTGCTTTATGAAACATCTCTCTGGACCAGGCTAGACTGGAAGGATGAGTTGTCATGGTTACTTCAGTATGGTCAGTATGTGAACCTTTTTGACATTTCCTGAAAATAACCCTGATTCACTCAAGTAACACTGTGCTATGTGTTTGCTATTGTTCGTCGTTAACTGGAGAAACTGGCCCAGGCCTCTCATAGCTGCGGACCCGCACCTGGGGATCTCATGCTCCATCACCTCCATCATGGCCGACTCTCACTCAGCTGTTCAAACCTGGATGTGAGCTAAAGTGTAAGTGCTACTATCTTTTGCTGCCATTGATGTTTGACTTGAAAAACATAGCTTTTCAGGTGCCACCACACAGCCCCCTGTGTAATCAAGTGCTACTTTACTGAACGGATTACATTTGTTTTACAAGTGCACTTATGACAGATGGTTGGTATGCAGCCCGGGTTTCTCCAGAGAAGAACAAATATAACCAGGTGAATGTACCATATACCATATAAAATTACCAAGACAATAGAGGCACTTTGCGGGACTTTCAGAGCACCCTGCCTGTCTTATCAGCCTAAATCACAAAGTGGCGCTGCAACACTGGAGAGCATCCTATTCCCCTTCATAATCAGACATAATAAATTCACTCCATTTTCCAAATTAAATTCTGATATTTTATATGCTCTCTTGCAGGCAGGTTCGCTTACAAGAAATACTGAGGTAAAATTCCGGTGCTAACATTAACAGAAACCAAAGCCAATAATAATAATTCGTTTTCCAGGTACATGTGTTAACCCTTATCAATGTTTGTGTGCATGCATTTTTAAAGTCACCTTGAAACACTTACTTTCACTTCACTTTTTCTTTTTATGTCACAATGTACACTTATTTGACAATAATTAACAAATAGCAGAATTCTTTCAAGTAAACCTTAACCACTAACTTGGATATCCTGTGAAAATGGAATAGTGATTATTACTTTAAGTTCAGAATAAAACTAAATCATATTTTTTTCCCATCATGACTTGTAATAGCAGGAAAAGCACAGGTGGAACTAATGGCACAAAATACACAATACAATGGAATGCAGCAATTACAGTTATCAACTGCACCTGTGCTTTTCCTTTGACATGTCAAAACGTCTCCTGTAAAAATGGTCTAGTCGGTGTCAAATAAAACTACCTTTGCTCCTTCATGTCTTATAGCTAGTGTCTTGTTCCAATGTTGCCAGTGTTCTGACAGGAAATGTTAACTTATCATACACTAATCTTCTCTATATTTAATTTTGGATCAATTTTAGAAACATTAAAAGGGCTGTTTCTTTTTGGTAACTCTTCCAAATTAAATTCATGTCTAATATTTTATAACACTGAATCTAATAACACATATATTCAACTATTTAAAATGTGCATTGATCACTCTCAGGCAACTTTAATTTTTACAAGGCTTCTAAGCAGAACATGGCTGCATTTTTATCAGTCCTGTTACCAAAACTACCAAATCAACCATTTTAAAGAAATGGTTCAAAAAATACATGCAGGCCTTTTTTCAGGAAACTGAAACCTCAGCTTTATCAATGTTTTGATCATGTAATTCATTAAACAACTGGATAGTGATGGACCAAACATAATTAAAAGTGAACTGAAATTGTGGTTCATTTTTAATTTTGTAAGAAAAACAATTTGGTAAAAGGAATGAACACTGGCTAACAGGAATGTGCCTTTGGCTCTGGACTAACCCCTCTAGGCTGGAGAACAGCCCCATTCACTGAATGTTAATTCGCAACGACCAAAAGGGGCTTGAGCCATCCTCAGAATTCGTTTTTTTGACAAGTGACGCAAAGGTGAGATTTATGCTTGTGTATTTTGGTTTTACAAGAGAAACGACTCAAAAAACGAAGACAACTAATTGGTCCCAAACAGCGTCTTCATACCTACTCACTGCATTTTTACAGCTCATTAAAAACGCTCTGAAGATGTAAATCCTCTGGGACTTAAATTACTTTAATTACAAAGCCTGAGCAAGCTTGGGCAATATGACAATACTGACACTATATAAAACCCATTAAGGGATAGTCATACCAATCAATTATATCTACTGTATGTATCCTGTAATATTTCTGCTTTTCTTAAGCTACTTTGTGTGGCAATCAAAAAAATAAACTTGCAGAACTGCTAATTGGCAGGTATTCCTCAAGTATTTCTTTCAAAAAAAATGTTCCAATTGACTTGAAAATGTATTATATCACACTGTATATAACAACTCATTGTGAAATTAATTCTTTCAAGAGAATTTTATCCACATCACCCCCTGGCTGGGTCACTTAAAATATGTACATGCCTTCAACAAATTTCATGTTATTGCAATTTCTTAAACCGAAAAATTAAAATAGCAGCATCCTGCATAGCTTCAGGATATTGGCCCTTTACTCAGTCTTAATACTTATTCAGGAAAACAGTAAACCATTTTGGAAACCCATTTATTCACCTATTTGATTCAAGTTCACATGTTCTTTTTCTCCTGTGAATATGGGTTCAAGGCAGTGGACATCAGGACATGCCCAGAAACTAAACGCACAAAATGAACAGGGTTAAAACAAGAGGGCTGCAACAAATCTGAAAACAAAACAAAACAAAAAAATAAAACACATTCAGGAGACTTTACAGGTTTTCATTTAATCTGCAGGATTTCTGGGGGACAGCTGTAGAGGGAAGAGCTTATACAAACACTTCACTGTACATACAGTTTTACATTTGTGTGGGGACATGATGTATGGTCTTTCCTGGCAACCCCACCTCTGGATCGACTAGTATTCTGTACAACAAACAGCCGGAGGCCTTGCATCCCAACTCCACACCCGCATTGTGTTTGCATCTGTGAGGCCCCGCTGAGCAAGGCGGGTTTCAGATGGCCTACAGAGATGGGTTGGAATAAACCAATCACAGAGTGCTGTCTCATCTACTGTTAAGCTCGTAATACAATATACTCTAAGACTACTTATTACATAATAACATAAAACGTGGAATGCAGACTGCAGTGTAGGCAAACTGCAACACCAAATTATTTTCAATCTCTTCCAATGCAACTCGTCAGGCCGTGGAGCTGGGATGCTGACTGAACGGACAGCAGAAGCAGAAGAAGCTTTGCATCAATTTCATTTTGCAGAATGTTTTGCCATACTCCCTGCATCTGTTCCTCACATGGGGAAAAGAGAGCATGACAGCGCCACGCTTGTGGCGAGGCAGAGGGCCAAGCTGCCCACGTTTCACCAACATGTGTCAATTGATTTTGTAAAACCATACTTTGTTCTGATAATAAAATCAAAAGCATGAAAATAAAATGAAAGTATATATATAACTCTTTCAGTTCCATTGTATGTATGATTGGCATTTCTCCTCATTCGTTCTCATTCCTCTTCGCTCTCGTTCCCGTGCTCCATCTCTTCCTCTCCGTTAGCTTTGGAATCTGTTCTGCTGTCTGGATCCTCTTCATCGTCTGCTTGTTCCTCCTTGTCTTCTTCCATCGTCTCCCCCTCCTCCTCCTCCTCCTCCCAGTTCTGAGAAGGACCAAAAATAACCATCTTAGTGCTCAACTCAAAAATGGACAACCTAATAAAATGTGAGCAGCTTGTAAACATGCATTCCAGGTTAGCCAGTTCTCCCAACTGTTGAAGTGTTCGTTCTGCTAACTTCTTTGAGCAGACACTGGGATCTGCCTTGCTAGCCACTTTTTCATAACTTACATCAGAGTCGTCACCATCAGGAAGACCTTCATCACCGGAGGCATCATCTTCATCAGATGATTCTGTGAAGGGAACACAAAGGAAAAAAAATCCATCAGCTGATCCTGCAAATCTGTGTCCACTACATCAGTGCTGGCTCTCCCACACAAGGAAAAAAGTAGTGAGGGTAAAAAAAGGACAATACACAGACTTTTTGCTATGGCAATGCTGACAGGAGGTGCAGGAGGAAGGAATGTCACTGATTTGCTGAGGCTATCTGGCCCATCAGGTGAGCCAGGCACCATCTGCTGCCAACACAGTCACCAAGATACTTTGATACAGATGTTACTAAATATTCTACTGTTGTACACCATAACTATAAAAATGCTTATATTCTGTAGAACAGGACGACAAGGCAGATGTGATTTATCCAAAATAGAGACTATAAAAATGACAGTTTTGCGTAAACAAAACAGCCTCAGGGGAGTGGATACTGGTTGATCCTGGACAATAAGATATTACATGATGAGGCAAACTGACCTTAAAAGGCTATGTTTTTTTCATCAATACATGGCTGGTTTACATGATAGGTTTGCATGCATTTCCACTGAAAGGAAGAGAGCCAGGGATACTAAGTAGAGGATGAAAGATCAACTTGAGAGCATAGTGCCATTATTGTAAGATCTACCTATCAATTCTCAACTGCTGCATGTTGTGAGGGGGAAAAAAAAACACTGATTTTTTTATAACACCATGACAACATGCACAATTTTCTACCTGGCAGCACTATTATCTGCAGAATCTCTGGGTGCTGTACATTTATGAAGCCCAAGACTAATCCTGTATTCTGACAAATTTCTGCATATACTCTAATTATACCAGCTTACGCTACAGAATGGTTAATTACATTTTTTAAATTAGTATATAATAAATGTTACCCATACAGCAAAACAATTGTTTGCAAAGGGAAAAAAAAAAAATTTATCACACCAATTGTAACCACACATGCTGTCCACACAACCTGTCAGACAACTCTGAAGCTTCCCATCCCATTCCCATGCCGGACCCATAACAACATCCACACCGGACTGTAACAACTTCCTGTTCATCAGCTCCCTTTCTGAATGCTTTTTTAAAATGAACCTTCACATCCTGGACCACAGACAGGGGTATGGGAACTCAAAGCACAGCTTAATTATTTCCATGAAAGCCAATTTTCTACGTGTCTCAATAAAACGTTTTATACAGTAATGAGAAAAGACTGAACAGAGCTGGGCCTTGTTGTTCTTCTCAAAGGGGAGGATCTGAATGCTGCCAGTCAGGTTGCCAGGCAACAGGAGTCATGTTTGCGTGCTGTGCATCGCCAAAAGTGGCTGCATGATCGGCATCGTTGCCTTTATACATCTCAACCGATTCGGCGCAGTCTTCGCGAAGAGTCCCAGATGATTTAAGGTGAATTGACGAGCTAATGAATGCCAGTCAAAACAATGACAAAACAATCGTCTGATAGGGCAGTGATTTCACCAGAGGATAAGTGTGACCCGGAGCACTGCGGCAGCCTTAACTAGTCACTCCAGTCAATCAGGCATCTAAAATGTACAGCTGATGAGCTGGAGACCAAACTGATTTTCTCTGTGTCAGCTGCCACTCACACTGCTCAGACTGAACCATCACTGGGACTGATGGACTGCCTGAGGTTATGATTCTACACATGAGATTTGAAGGGCCTTCAGAATTGGCATTTCACTGAGAAAAAGGTTTTAACAAACAAAGACAGGGAAGCAGAAGATTAGTGAGAATGAACATAAACAGGGATACCACAAGAGGAACAAACACTTACCCTCCTCATACACCAGCTTTGCTGTGTGGTCAACATCCGCCACTGTGTTGCTGCTGTCACTTGTCGCCACCTAGTGGTGAAAGGGAAGATGGGTATTAAGAGATGCAATGAAGGATTTTGTGCAGACCATGATTCTGTTCTTTTTCATTTCAGATTGTTTTGTCCAAAAGTCACTGGCTGATTAAATGCATCCTTGCGTACAAAAAAAGGGCATGTTATACAATCTGGCGTCATGTTAAGTTTTACAAAGCATCACTTTGAAATCACACAACAGTCGCATAATGTTGCACTTGTAATATTCAAATGATTTGCAGCAGGATCAAGTGGAGCAAAAACATGTGTATTCTTTGTGAACGAAGAACAAATAAAGTTCCTGTGAAGTCCCATCCCTGCAGAGGCGCCTCCAACAGTGACTTCATTGATGCAAATAGATGGCAATTTACACATATCTTGTCAGAATGATGCATCACCATTCATGTGTGGTTTTATGCAGCAGGTTAATGATTCTAAAATTACAGTGGGATAATATACATGTGTGTCTGAATTCGTTGTCTAGATGAGGGCACACGGCCAATCTGAACCTGCAAAGAAGAATGTCTGTTCTCAAGCAGATCGCCTGCTGACCACTCTCCACACAACGTCTGTTGTGAGCTGTCAGCTGTCTGTCAGCTTTACATTTTTGGAACAGATAATCATCTTTGTAAAATCAGCAGATGCATCTTTGTCTCAATTTATTGTGATGGTAATGGCAGGGACATGGCTAGAAGCTGACAGAACCAGACAATGTGGAAAGACTTATTTGACAAGGTCACAAGTAGAACTCTGCATTTTTTGGACAGATCATTCTCCTTGTAGGACAGATGTGCTTGGGGACTGGGTTGGAGGTTTAAAATAAATACCAGTAGCAGACAGACAAATGTATTCAGTTTTAAAAGTTCACACGCATTTGTTGTACTATATGCTGTTTGCAAAGAAAGAATGGGCAGTTGTCGACTGAGTGAGGGCATGTGTGACTCTATAGATACCACTCTCCCTTCACTCTTCCACAGTCCCTGATTTGATTATCCCAAATGCAACCATCCTCTCAGCACACGCACAATGTCTTGGAGCTTACAGAACATAGTCAAGTTTGAAACCGTGAGCTGGGGGAGGCCTGGCATTTATAAAACAAAGATACAGAGTTTATTTCTGTACATCATTCCACCTACCTGTGTCATTAGGAGATACAGTTTCCCATGCAGCTTTGTTAGCTTGTGGAACATCTTCACCCTGCTCTCTATCATGTGATAAAGCACTCCCAGCTGGGTAACCAGGTCTGGCAGCTGTTGGATACACAGATGGATCAGTCAAAAGGTAAAGATGTTTCACCAGCAGAGAAAACTAACACGTCGATGAGGAGACCTCTGACAGGGTCTCACTTCACCCATTAACTATTGCTTTCATATAATGTAAACACAAGGCTATCCAGTAGATTTCACATTTAAATTGGAGTAAGGGGAAGACAATAGTTCATGGAAGTTTAAGGGTATATGTCCTGGGTTAAGGTTTCCTCTTGTTAAGATCAATCTGTACAGCAAATGTACTGTATGACCCAACAGAAAATCTGATTGATAGCTAGCTGACGGTTTCCTTGTATTTTGAGCATCAATGTGCACAGAAACTGGATTTTTAGCTGCTGGTTATGGAGATATTTTGGTCTTAGTCACACAAACTGACAGACTGTCTGAGTCAATCACATAATCTCTGCTGTGTGGTGGAGGTAATGACTGTAGATCTAAATAAGATTAAATGTGAATGTCGACAAAAGGGCAGAGATATGCACAGAAGGATGCTGGGTGGTTTTTTTCTTGTGTTATTTAAACTGCCGCATGCGGTGCTTAGTGCAATCACAAATGCATAGTGGGGAGGGCCTAAACGGTGCATCTGTGCAGAAGGCAGAACAGTACAAGTCAAAGAGGCATCAACAAACTGAAATCTGCTGGTTTAGAGCTGCAGTCCAGGCAGAATGTGACGTTGGTAAAGTGGACTTACCGATGCCAGGTATGATGTGTGCTGAATGAGTACAGCCTTGAGCCACCGTACCATTAAAACTGCCCTGTTGGAAGGAACAAATGTATCTGCTGTCAAGAGGGACCCACAACGGCCCGACTGTACATATCCGTGTGATGGGACACATTGTTTATATAATGCGAAGTAAAAAGCAGCAGCACAAACTCAAGTGTCTGCATTAGTGACTAATGTGTACAAAAACTGATCTTAAGCCAATTAAATCCTTAGTCAATCTCTCAAGCTTCAACTTACATAAAAGGGTGCCCTTGGAGCCTCTTTGTGATCTACAGAAAGAGAGATAAAGGTCTGATTTAAAAACTGTCAGTGTGACCGACGATCTGTGCAGGTTAATGCAGCTTAGAGAAAGACTGCTGTTTCAAACACAAAAAGGAAACTCATCCAAAAAATTAACTCTCACCTCTTCAACCAAAGGTAAAACAGCAGGGAGGGGTAACCGAGCAACTGTTTTCTTTATCACCACCTCCTTGCGAGTCTGAAAAACTTTCTGTAGGGGGGGGGGGGGGGGGGGGTTATTAAGATTTGCACATGCATAGTAGAAAGGTTAAGTAGTGCTCACAGCTAGATGAGCTGAATATCCAGGAGATTCAAGTCAACTTCCTTACTGTAAAACCTTTTACAGGTTTGAGCTTATGAAAGCCTAAACATTCACACTTGCTGTTTGGGGAGATTGAGTTTAAATGTTCACACCCAGATCAACTTTTTAAACTTTAGAATAGCAAAAGAGCACATGCTTAAGGGAAAACAAACTTGGGAAAATCACTTTTCCATCTAACTACACTGAATGTTACATTTCAGAGCCCGGACTCTGAGAAGAACACTTACATTTAGGATGTTGGCGTCGTTGCTCTCCAAGCCCTGCACCAGCAGCACTGCAAAGTTGTCAGTCTGTAAAGAGGCCGTCCCTCTAGGAGCTCCCTTCTCAGAGACTGTCGATAGATCAATTTCACCTAGTCGCTCCGCTATTGACATCTACAGGAGAGCAGAGATATTTACGCAGGTTTATTACATCACATACAACTAATCTGAAAGCATCCACAGCCCAATGGCAATATAACACCATGTTTACCATGTCCGCGTGTATAACGTGCATTGATTTTCTTTGTCAGCAGTATGTTTTATAAAGTCGCCCAAAAAAACGTGATTTCTTCACCTGCAATTCCATTTTTAGTTTCACTCACAGAAGTTAGTAAATGAATCAAGATATCTCCAACTACTGCAAAATGAAAGGAGTGGACTGATGCAGATATTTATTTGGTCAACGAGCACACTGCTCTCACAATTTAAAGTGTTCTTCTGATCAGTTTTAATAGATAACATATTAAGAACATGTACCGGCCCTTTATGAATGGTGTGACTCATCACTGTAGTGCTAACACTTCTACTCATTACGTTGTTTGGAGTCTGTGCCAAAAGGCCATGAGAAAGAAAAACCTGCAGCGAGCCTCTGTTTGGTGCTTCATCAACACTGAACCCACCTCTTTGGTGTCTGTATCTTTTTTCCTTTTCTCTGGTCCCTGTGAGGTTCCCTTGACCGGGGCCTGGTGACCAGGAAGCCCTGGGACCAACACTCTGCTCTTGGTGTTGACAATAGGTGTTTTCACCTGGAACAACACAATCTCACATTTTCATCTTCAGTCATGGTTACAGTTTAAATCAATCTACAGTGCGCATGGAGTGGCAAATGTGGCCATATAAAGTCTGGCGAACATGCCCAGACTGTGTGTATAGGTCTTCTTGACTCATATTAACCAGAGTACAACTGGATTGTTACCTTGGAAACGCTGGTTTCCATGGAAAGGGACAAGCTGGTCCGAACATCCCGGGTCAAACAGATGTGTCTCTCTGCTGTGTTGATCTCCTGTACAGATATGAGGGGCAAGCATGGCAGATAATATCGGTAATTATTTATCTGAAGCTGGTGACATTCAACAATTCACTAATAAAGACATGATTTATATTATGCTTTCTCTGTAGGCCACAAACTGAGCAGTCAAAACAAATCTTCATCTAACAGCTGACATACATTTTTAAATCATCGAGATTTAAATCATTTATACTGTCAAGCATTTAGTAATACTGTTTTTAATAATAACACTTTATCCCTTTATGTAGTAGCTTTGCACTAAGTTGTCAATCACAAACATAATGCCATACATCTCACTTGCTTCTCACTAAAACATATAATAGCCTTATAAGAGGATATGGAGAAGCAGCTTGGTGCAAAAACATGGCTGTCCAAGCAAATCTTTATCGCAGTTAAACCCAACCTCCTGTGTACTCACCACTTTCTCCATGACAGGCTGTAAGTGGCTGCCGTATGCCAGCAGCACAGTCCGTGTATCAGCTCCGAGGGCAGCAGCCAGTAGTGGGATTGGCACTGGGGAGTCCTTTGTGTCCGACATCTGCACTGTACATGAGGGTGACATGGGCTTCTTACAAGGCCTGTGGGGACAGATGTTTAGACAAGCCGTGAGCACATCAAGTACGCAACATTAAATAAAATGTTAATTGAGATCCAAAATCAGGACAAGTCACTAAACTGCACTAAAGTCTCCGATGAAGCAAGCAAAGGAAAATAACACCGCCCATCTCACCGACTGCATCTGATTGAAGCAGATGAAAGAAGTAAAGCATTGCTGCGCTAAAAAACAACACATTGTTCAATTGATAATATGGAATGCAGTGATCTATCGGTGACTAGTGATGTGACTTGCAAATAAAATGTATGGAGTTGTGTTAAGGTTTATCAGAAGAGGAAATAAACCGAAAGCCTAAAACTAATCGCCGACTTTGAGTTACATCAATTTCCCTTAAACATTTAGCCAATAAATCCTAAGACACTAGGATCATATTCTCGGTTCTTCAATAATGAATTCACAATAAATGAATATGAGATAAGAAGCGGACGTCGCTTCATGTGACGCTTCGGAGGAAAGGACGTCTCATGTCTCTAGAGACATATTTCCTCGTTCCTCCTCTCCCTGCTTGGTTTCCCCAGTGGGCGGGACTAAGACGCAAGTGAGGGAAACGTGGATGCAATTAAGAGACTTGAGGAGCGCCCATGGTTTGTAGGGATGCATTTTGTTCTCTTGGATTTTTCAGTCTGGGGAAGAAAAAAAAAAAACTGTACCAAGGGGAAAACGCTCCAAGTTTACAAACTCTTCACCTGATTCTGACCAGAGCAAACAAAGTATAGGTGTGAAACCGGCCTAAGAAGAGTGAACTGAAGGAAACATAAGACTCTTAATACAAACCGTCTCTTCAAATAAAATTAAGTGTTGATATATTTCATACAGCTATCTTACACTGCCATGTTTCCCAGTACAGTGTACAGTGTTTTAAGGGCTTACCCATTTAAAAAGTGCTCAAAGAGATGCAGCTGCCCATCCTTACACACCACTGCCAGCCTCACCGCCTGTGTAAAACAAAATACCACACAAACAAACATTTGCATATGGTAAACAGGTTATGTAAACAAACAATATGTCTGTAGGGCTCCCGACATAAGTACACCACATGAAGGAACATTATAGAGTGGCTTAAAGCGTGCTTACATCCTGAGGGCTTCCAAAATAAACATGGATGGATAACCCACAGTGGCAAACACTCTTTTTGCCATTTCAATAGCTCAAATTGGGTTCAACAATATGTTGAATAATGTAAGCAAACCCATATTCTTATTTCAGAATCACTATTATTAACCAGTTTTGCACAAGTCAATACAGACTGCAGTTATTCCATTGATGAAACTAAACTGTTCAGCACAAATAAATGCATCATTACACTCCTACTATAAACTAAAGCATGTCTCCACTCGGACCTCTTCCTTGCTGTTGGAAGTGACCAGGTCGATGTGTTGTGGCTCATCCGTCAGGGTGAAGGACACCACTGAATTCTTGTCTTTTCCGTCTTGTCGTACTTGCCTACAGTGGGGACATGAAAATAAGCATGGCAATCAAAACCAGCCCAACAGCAGTACCTTTTAAATGATGCGCGCGACTACGTGCCAACACTTTCAACCGAAATGAGCTCTGGCTGTTGTGTGTTTACTCACCAAACACTGAGCAACCGATCGTGCGCGGCACCGGACAGGAAATAGAGACCATTGCTGTCAGGAGGCCGCGTGGTGGCAAAGCGCAGGGTCGTCACAGCCGTGGAGTGGCCCGTGAACTTCTGCAGAGAGAACAACAAAAAGAAAGATGGTTGAGTCAATTTTGTTAGAAAGGTCAGTCATGTTTTCCCGGTCTTTAACCTTCATTGTTTCTCTGAATTTAGACAGGAAACTCACTTCATAGCGTAGATCCTTCACAAGTGTGGCTTCAAGCATATGTACATTCAATCACTTTAAAAATTGAGTAGGAATTTAAATCAGCTGTGTAAATAAGACAATCACCCTGTAAACCTCCTTGGTGTCCAAGTCCCACATCTTGATTATCTGACCGGCTGAAAGAAGCAGTTTCCCATCAGGGCTCACACACAGACTGGTCACTGCTGCACGGTCTGCCTTCCACTTACTGTGAAAAAAGAAAAAGAAAATTGTTTCTGTATTTTGGAGAAGGTTTAGCATGTTATAGGGCTCTATTTCTTCTCTTGTTGACATTATAGGATCAGGAGATCAGGTGTTCTCCATCATCTGATCCAAGTAGCACTTTACTGTATAATGTTTTCTGCCACAGCATGTTTTTCCCCTTTTTCAAATTTAAGTGAAGAGCCTGAAACTTTACAGATACATTTCACTTAATATTGCACTCGACCTGATAGAAGTAGGAAATGCACAAAACACTCCCACCACTCTCTCCAAAGCACTTTGCGGGCCACAAATGGGCTTTACTGAACATCAAGTGAGAATTCATGGCGACATTACCGTTGATGACTATACTTGCTGGCTGTGCTGCTAGTAAATCAGTCACATGAAAGAAGGTGTTAAAATACAGTTGATACTAAATGCATGATTGTAGAGCCTTCAATGATGTGAGTTGGTGTAGTTCAGTGCTTGCGAGTTGTCCTGATGTCTGTTGCAGAGCTGGCAATAGGTCGCATCCACGTGGGGAATGCGTCGGGGAGCCACTTTGATGCGTTATTTTATATAATTTTCCTCAATAACAAATATTCAATAAATGTTTGATTAAATTCATTTGAATTATGAACAAAGTTTTACTTTGTTGAGGAAAAAGGGACTGAAAAGATTTTATCATAATTGTTTTGAATCTTCTACCTCAGATTTGTGAAGTGATTCACAGTTTGGAAAGTGTAAAACCACAATTAACCATCTGGTTTCATCAACTTTCTCTCACGAGCAGAAATCTGCCTTTATACTTAAAAAAGAAATAACGATTTGACATTTATCGTGATAATTATTGACATCAAATGATGAACATTTTTTGCCATATCGCCCATCCCTACCCCCACGATGTGTTTCACATACTCTTGGAGTGTCACAATCACCCGATTTGTGTGAAATATGTTACGTACTGGTACATAACGTATAATTAGCAGGTGTATGCCGTCCTCACTAAAAGTTGTTGCAGGCAACGTGTTTTAGTGAGGACAGCATAGTAAAAGGACAAAGCCGTTTGGTGGACTTTAAGGCACAGGATTGCAAGGATTGTTAAGCTGATGCTTCCTCTAAGAGCCCATGTGGAAAAGGAAGTTCCTAAACTCTACTTCCTGTCATCCTGACTATTTACCATTAGCTCACTTCCTCTTTTTGCAACCACCAGTAGGTGGTGCTAAGAAAGTAGAAAATAAGCCTATTCACTGGTTCCAATACAGGGTATTTGTTCTCTACCACCAAATAGGGGACACAGGAAGTGATGTTTAAGTCCTTTGTGCAGCATCCAAAGCATTTGAAGATTCAGAGCCGTGTTGGCTGAGCTGCAGCGCATCACACAACGACACGTGTCAAGGTGCGAGTACCCATCCAACAGTTTTTTAAAAATACAAATACCGTCATACTATATACAGTGTTTCCTATTAATTAAAGAGACCATGGCAGCCCGCCACAGTCTTATGTGCTCCACCATAGTTTCAAAATGAACCAAAAATATTTTTACACATCTCACAACAACATTTCAGACCTCTAACGTGTGTTGTGGGCACTGCTGTTAAGCTCACACGCTCACATAATTTGGCATCCAACTCGAGACTACCACTTTTATTTTGAGGTAACTACGGTAACCGTGTGTTTCTGTCACTCATTTGTGAGATGACGATTATGCTAGCCGCGCGTAAATTTGGAGTGCACACGTATTCAAGCCTTTATGGTAAATCCACTGAAACGACAGGTTAGTGACTTTATCCTGTCAGTTTCTCTCTTTACAAAGACAAGTGTTGCAGTATGAGAGTCCTACCTGAAGAGAGGCTGTGAAGTCTTCATGTTACATGATACGAGAACCACATACGACAAATATTTATCAAATTGGGTCGGACTTGATGAATTTAGCGCGAGGATACACATGTGACAACGTCCAGTTTTCAAAATAAGGTGTCTATACAGGATGGAAATAAGATTAATTGAATTATATTCACAGAAAGTATAAAAACATATGTGTCCATTAAATGTTAAAAACAAACAAAACAAAAAAAAACACACAATAAAATGTTAGTGAATTATTTTCTATTCTTTGATTAAGGGTTGCTAGAAAAATATTAAATACATTTGTTGACTTTTGTTGCTGTTTACATCACCATTTGCACCAAAATAATGCATTTAACTTTTTCTCTGAGGGAGCATGGGCAAACTTTGAGAGTTGATGGTCTGACAATATGAAAGCAGCTGAAGGTTTACAGCAATGAGAACAAAATGACACACGTCATTAGTGTGATAGACACGGGTTCAATCCCCTACTCTGACACATCCCCCAGTGTGTCACAGAACTACACAAACCCTGTCATATTTTTCTCTATTTTCTGAAAGCGAAAGTAACAGTTACTGGCTCCACGGTGGAGGAGTTGGTCCCAAAAAGAGGAGCCCCTTCAGTAGAGTTGAAGTGGTTTCGCTACAAAAGATCAGATGTACAACCAACCACGGCAAGTTCAACGACACAACAAACTTATTTCACCACCTCAAGTAGAAGTACCCGTAGAGTACGAGGGGAGCTCGACAGCTAATGTGAGTTCTAAAGCAAATATATTTCTCAGTATTTTATCATATTGTCATTTCATATCATTATAGCAGAAATACACTGAAAAATTGTGATATTATTTTAGGGCCATATTACCCACCCCCCCAACAAAAGGCCACACATTTAGGGTGTGAGCATCATCTTGAAGTAATTCAATGGATCATGAGAAAAGATGTTGTAGGATCGGTCTAATTCAGGTCAGCAGGCGACTAATAGATCAATCACATCGTAAGGTTGGCTATGCTGTAATTCTTTAGAGCAGCATGTTGCAGTGTTGGCTCAGTCACAATCAAAAGGGGTGAAACAAGTCTTTTTTGCATATAGCTGTTTAAGGTTAGCAAAGAGCAATGTACAAAACATTTAGGTAGCAGGCCTCTCATTTGTAGCAGGCCCTGGCTGTTGCTTTCAACGGGTACAATGACAAACGCCACCGACAGCAGGTCATGTCATCTGTCGTTAACTCATTCTATACCTGCTAGAGAAGGGCGGATGATATCAACGCTTGTTTCAGTCCAGTGAAGCGCACTGTTTCAATACATTGTGTCAGAGTTTGTGTCAGATGTAGAATACCAGGTGCTGCCTCAGAGCGCCTCCTTCAGTTTGATGGGCACATAAGTTGCATGAGGGAATAATAGAGAAATATGTACACTAAAAATACATAACTATGACAACACTTCCACCTATTTTGTGCCAGCAAAAATATTTTAGATCTAGGTTTTATGGACAATGCATTTATTATTTCACTATAACATACTTCACTTCACTGTGGTTAGTGTCTGCTGTGGAAGTTCTCAGTCATTCAGGCCATAGTTATCCAAAGAAGATTAAAATCAAGGGTAACTGGACTCAATTATCATTTGTGATTTCAAAGTCATAATCAGTAACACCAGTTCACTATCGTGAATCAGGCCGTGTGTTTTGTAGTTTAGAGCAACAGACTCTGTCTTGCAACTCTTCTAAATTTTATTGTAATTTTCCCTAAAGCAATGTGTGCTTCTGGAATGTCAGAATGTCAGGGGTGGCGATGGCGCAATGGATAAGACTATGCCTTTGGTGTGAGAGTCCGGGGTTTATCCACCATTGTGTCCCTGAGCAAGACACTTAACCCCTCGTTGCTCCAGAGGCATGTGACCTCTGACTGATATAGCAATTGTAAGTCAGCTAAAAGAATAAATGCAAGTGTAGAACATATCCTCACAGTGGTAGTGATAAGCCAATTAATTAGGCCGATATCTGACATTTTTCAACAACTGTCTGCACTCGCCACACCGATAAACAAAAAAGCCTCGTCAGCGTGGCTGCTGTGGAACCACGTTAGTGCTCCCCTTTTATAAATTTTGGGAAGGTGGTGAAAAGGTTAGTTTGAAGCCCTAAATGTCCTCGGTCACCAACGTCCTTTCTAAATGTTTACATGTTTCTCCCATCCTAAATAACAGCAAATGTTTTCTAACACCATTACTGTCTAGCTTTAAATATATATTGTTATACTGTAGACAATAATGCAGTTAAATGACGTCACTTGTGACAAACTGAACCCCACTCTCCCTTACACATCAGCCCTGTTCTGAAATCTGCAGCAGAACCCAATGTGTTTTTCTATTTCATTAATTCACAAAAATTCTGTTACTGCTTAAGATAACCAATACTGTACTCATGCATGGATTAATGGAATTATAAATGACTATTTTTATTTTAGCATTATTTATCCCTGCTCTCTAAATATATTCCCATTTCATCTGGGTCTGTATGACAGACTATCTCACTCTTGCAAGTGAAATGTTAAATCTAACAGCATCCTATATACATTTTTATCAAAGCAATCAATGCGACTCAATGTGTTCTTTGGTTAGAGTCCATTCTGGCCACACATCTTATTCCCAAATTAGATAGCACTCTTAAATTATTTCCCATATTCATTTAAATGAATACAAATAAACTAGATACTGACCATCGCGCCTTGCCTGTCTGCAGGTCCCACTCGATGATGTGTGTATCATCTGAGCCGCTGTATAGTAAACTGTCTTCAGGGTGCCACTGGACACAATTCACTCCCCCACTATGGCCGCCATCCTGGCAGAGATGGAAAATGATAGTTAGCAGTGGCACCAAAATAATGTTCTTTTGACATACGTCATTTCCAAATAACAGGTCTCCCACATGCCTTGAAAATAATTTTAGGAAGTGTGTGAAATAACCTTTCCCAGTTACAATTACATTCTTAACATCTTATATTTTATTCCCCATCTATAGGATATGATAAACAAGCCAGATGTCCAGAGAAGGTTAAAACTCACCAGGGTACAGTGCAGCGCTCCCTTAGCTGTACTGTAGATGAGCACACTGCCTGCTGCTGTGCCCATCGCCAACAGGTCTGCCTTCTCCTCCACCTGCCCTGCCTCCGATTTCCTCTTCTTCCTCTGAGGTCCCTCCTGAAACACAGCACATTTGCAATGATAACGCACGTAAACATTACAAATAATGTGTGTATATTAACTGAGAAGAATGCTTGGTACTTTGGGGCTATATCTTTACTTGTATTAAAATCTCAGTCTATTACACCACCAATGACATTCTGCACCAGCACACTGACAGCTGATAAAACCAAATGCTGTCCTCTGACTGACTGCTCCTACTTGATATTTTACGATTTCACTTGTTGAACTACCTGCCGGAAAGTTATGCAAGTGGACACTAATACTACTGTAAAATATCATGGGCACATTCCGTGCAGTATTAAAAAGCATGATTATGATTCAGTATTCAAATGTATGTCCTAAAGTAAACAGTTCAACTTGAGAGGAAAGGTTTACAAGCTATAAGTAGTTACACCGTGGTAAAACTTCTGAAACCTCTCCTTTTTATAAAGTGTCATGGTGGCACACGCTTCCGAAGCTTTGGTGGGCTAATGCTAACTTCAATAACGAGTTTATATACCGTACTAACAGCCTAAATAAAATAAGAAATAATTGCTCAAGTTAATGGAGCTGCGACATGTATTCTTATGGGTTAGTTCAGCCCTGAATTCCCAAATTAAGACATTGTTCACGTTTTTTTGACTACCATGTGGGACTAACATGTGCGTCCTGCGCAGCTGTTGAAAGCTAGCTAACGTGGCTACCCTGCTAACCAAGTATGTGTCAGATACATAAAAGCGTCCGCATTAACGCATATCCTAAATTCCCCAGCTTTCAGAGCTATCTGCCTTGTGAATAGTGACACTTTTCAAAAGTGCGAACTTCTATAGGACACTATCACAGACAACTTGCTAAGGCCTTAGCTAGCTACTGTAGCTAACAGCAGAAATACCAAAGCAGTCTTACGCACCTTCACTGTCCGGCATGGTCCCCAGGCTATGCAGATACATGTAGCACTCAAATGGGCTGAAGGCACATATTCTTGGTGAAGTGTTTTGCTGTCTGTGTTCCAAACGCGAAGCCTGCCATCCTGGGCACACAACGCTAAGTACTGTCGTGATTTGGGTGAAAAAACGCAGGGTAGCTGCAGCGAAGAACTGGCTCCATCGGCCGCCATTTCTGAACCGCTGCTTGAGTCTGCGTGCGTGGTTTACACAAACCACGTGTGGCCCTCCGAGGACATGCGCGTTAGCACGTCAAAAGCACCGCCCTCCCATTGGCTGCCACCAGACAACAGGCAGGTTGATTCATGCTGCCTTCAAGTCTCCTCGTAACAGCCGAGGTCTGTTTTGTTTGAGGTTTACGGCAGTTGGCATCCCGTTGCATTGCTGTCTTCTCGGTATAGTCTTCCACAATTAAAAACAAACAAACAAAATAATGTATATATGTGGCCAGCTGATGATACACGGAGCAACTTTTAGAGCAATCGTGCAGGGCAACGTTGCCGTCAATGTGATTACTACCGTAATCCCCTTCCCCAACCACTCCGCCACCCAACCCACACCACTGCTACCCGTTTCAAAACATAGTCGGACTGGGCACTAGCAACATTGCCCAGCAACATTGCTCAAAAAGTTGCATAGCATAAGCTTAAGGCACACCTGTGCAATACCCATGCTGTCCGATCAGCATCTTGATATGCCACACCTGTAAGGGGGTTGGATTATCTCAGCAAAGGAGAAGTGCTCACTAACACAGATTCTGACAGATTTGTAAACAATATTTGAGAGAAATAGACCTTTTGTGTACATAGAGAAAGTCTTACATCTTTGAGTTCAGCTCATGATGAATGGAGGCAAAAACAAAAGTGTTTGCGTTTATAATTTTGTTCAGTGTGTACATATATACATAGGCTATATTTATTTCTCTAAAATGCAAAATGAAAAGAAAATATCCTCTACTCTTCCACTATAACTAGTACCAGTGGTACTCCAGTGTAAAAGATTTTCAATTACAAGAAATTACAAGAAAAAGACCTGCATTTTAAATATTACTTAAGTAAAAGTACAAAAGTATCATTAGCAAAATGTAGGCTTACTTGAAAATATCAAAAGTAGAAGAAGGCCCCATCCGTTCTGCAGAGAAATGGCTAGCATATCACTGAATATTTTATAGATTGTTTATATGAATTCATTACTGTGTATGCAGCATTTTACTTCTGTAATTGGTCAAGGTGGAGCTAGTTTTAAATACCTTATATAGCCTACAGTTAGCGATATTGTCCAGTGGTTTCCAATCCAGTGCTCGGCCCCTCCAAAGGGTCACAAGATACATCTGCCGGGGCTGGTAAGATGCTTATTGGGGTACGAAAGAAGAAAAAGCAAAGTTTTACTACAAACCTCTTGTAGTATTTTTTCAAAAACCTTTTAACAATCTTTTCTTTTTGTAAAATGTTACCTCTCTGGTCTGATTAAATGAAACCATCTGATAAGTTTAGAGGGGGAAAGTCCGTTTGTTAGAACCTCACAATGTGACATGGGGGCCCAGACAAAAAGACACCACAAGTCAAAAAGGTTGGAAAATAATATTTTATTCTTAACAATGTATTTTGTAAAAGTCATATGTGTTTTGTGCAAAATATTCATCTGAAAACTAATAATAGCCGTCAAGCATATGTAGTGGAGTAATATTTCCAAATAATTTTGTATTGGAGTAAAAAGTAGAAGAAAAGTAGCAGAAAATGACAAAAAGGTAAAGTAAAGGTAACAACATTTTATTCAAGTACCATATTTAAGTTAATGTGTCTTGTTACATCATCTGTCAGTTCACTTTCCCAGCTTGACCCTGATGACACAGTTACGACATTTTAACAGTACTTGAACGCAGCAACGACACATGAAGTTTTCTTCTGTAAATCCATGTGCAGAAGAATACAATTAGCGACACAACTACTTTTGTAGACTTTTGTTTTTGATGTGTAATATGCAAATTAATTTCACATTTGCATATCACACAAACCAGGCCATTTAATTAATGTAAGTGAGGCACTTTTGCACATCGCATAAATGCGAAAATCTAATTTCTTCAAGAGAAACTCGATATCTGGCGCCGTTTGAGGTGTGCAATCATTCATTCTCTAAAACTGGAATGAGAGCTTGGAATGAGGTTGTGATATCGCCCTCTGCTGGTGGACTTAAATCACTACCCCTGTCGCTCAGTTATGACGTTGTTCACGTGCGTTTTTCCAGCATGGTGACCTCCTTGGACTGTAAATACAGCTAGGCTTTGGAGCAATGAAGACGAACGAATTGTTAGTTGTTACACTGTAAATGGAGTAAGTGCAGTTTCAACCAGGTAACGTTATACTCTTATAATCAGGATGATAACACTTTGCAGGGATTCATATTATTTAACAACTACAGCTGTCATTCTCTTGAGTTTCATCTGCTTTTAAATCACATAACTAACCGGTAGTACATAGTCTTTACTTTTACTTTGTATATTATGTTATAATCTGAAGTAATGGCTGTGCAAGTGCCATTTGCTGGACTTCTGTTTATGCACAGACTGGTGAGAATTAGCACATTCAGTCAAAGACATCTCAGGAACAGGGACATGCTTGTAAAACTCCAGAAATGTAAGAGGGAGATCCGAACTTTTTCAACTGGTTCTGTGAAATGTAACGAGAATGAGGGAGAGAACTCAGACTCTCACACCCAGCTGAGCTCCAGGCAAGCACTGCTGTCCAGAAGGAGGCGGCCCCTGTCCCCCCTGGAGAGGATCAGTGGCCTGCTGCCCCCGGATGCCCTGAGCCCTGAGGTGCGGCAGCTGAGGGGGCAGAACCAACAGGACCCTGCAGAAGACACAAACATCCTGGTGCCGGTCACACACTGCACACTAGAGGAAAGTGGACATGAGGCAATCCTTAGAAAGGATGATTTAGAGACCCATCCTGCACCAGATGCAGTTCTGGAGCCAAACACTTCAGAAACTCAGTTGAACGGAGCATTTCATGAGGAGAAAAGGTTGATCGCACCCACTCTTCCTGGGGAGAGAGGGCTCGCGTTCGGGGAGCTGCTCGTCGCTGAGTTCCGCAAGAAAGGGCAGGTGGAGTTCAGGAAGATGTTCCAGCTTCAGACAGGGACACGTTTGCAGAGCAGCTGGGGGATCATCCTGCATGACGACATAGCCGGGCAGCCTGCAGGTAGCTTCCTGAAGACAAACAGGGAGGTTCCCATCCTAATTCGGCGGGCCAGTCTGGAGGATTATGTGCTGTATATGAAGAGGGGGCCAGCCATCGCCTACCCCAAGGTATGGTGTTTGTTTGTGTGACATAGACGCAGTTTTAGCGTATCTCAAGGTCATTTTTTCTTCTCACAGATATTGTGCGTGTTGTTTCTGCCTGTCTTCTCAGGATGCAGGTACCATGCTTATGATGATGGATGTCACAGAAGGAGACTGCGTGTTGGAGTCAGGCTCTGGTTCCGGGGCCATGTCTCTGTTCCTGTCCAGAGCAGGTCTGCACCAGCCATAGTGGCATTGTCTCACTTTGGCTTTTTTCCTATTAAGATTGAAATGGAAGTGTAGCGTTTCAGAGTTTAGATACACTACATGGCAAAACACACTCGTCCCAGTCTGTCGGTCTGTTCTATACACACACCATCTACTGCATGTCTGTCCATCCTGGAAGAAGGATCCCTCCTCTGGTGCAATGATAGAGGGTGTTGTATGCTGTACAGATTGTAAAGCCCCTTGAAGCAAATTTGCGATATTGGGGTATATAAATAAAATCCTTTTATAGTCTTCTGGCCACTCAAAGCACTTTACACTACATGTCACATTCACACACTGATGACAGAGGCACAAACTGCTCATCAGAACAGGAACTAACATTCACAGTAATTCAGGATTCAGTATCTTGTGATACTTCGATATGCACACTGGAGGGACCGGGGATCATACCACCTGATTTGTGGGCAACCAACTCTACCCCCTGAGCCACAGCCGCCCCAAATAATTCTAAGAAGAGGGTGTGAACTCCAGACTTTAAATACATTTTCTAGGTAAATCTTTCCACCAATCAGAGGCGGCATTATTCACTGTACAAAGTAAAGTTCTGCTTAAATTGAAGAAAGAAATATCTTGTAAAATTGTAAAATAAGACTTAATGGGGGGATAAGGGGAGAACTCACACTCACAAAAGGCAAAATAGCAATTCAAATAATTGCATTCAAAAAGCAGATTTATCAGGATGTACTGGTAGTTTGTGTGATGCAGGAAATGGCTGAGGTGAAATGTCATGTTTCCTCAATCTACTGCTTCTACAAAAAGTGATCTTGGAAAGGAATACTGTACGGACGTAGTGTTTTCCTGGATGCTATAATGAAATGCCGGTCGTGTGTGTGTGTTTTTCCCAGTTGGCTTTAAGGGCAGCGTGCTGAGTGTTGAGGTCAGGGAGGACCACCTCAGTAGAGCTATGCTAAACTACGAGCGCTGGAGGACATCATGGAGTCTGCGACGAGGGGAAGAGTGGCCAGACAACGTCCAATTTCACAACGCCGACCTCTGCGTGGCCTCCTCGCTCCTGGCTGGTCGGGGATTTCATGCGGTCAGTGTCTAGTTTTAAAGGTGGTTTTACACAGAGTAATTCCTAAACAGAGACTGTGACAGTGTTCAAACTAACGACAATACAACATCACATGTATCATCATCATATGTATTAGGACTGTGGGTATTAGATTTTGTGACACCTGCTCATTCATCGGACTGGATTATGTCTGTTGCAGGTTGCTCTTGATCTGATCAACCCTCACCTGGTTTTACCCACTGTGATTCCACATCTGCACCCTGGAGCAGTATGTGCTGTCTACCTCGCCAAGTGTGTATCTCCACTGTTTCAATGTCACCTTTCAAACCAGACCTAAGACGAGGGGCTAAATTAGGTTGGACACACTGGGCTCTGAAAAAGTGCGGTGGCTTCATATGTAGTTTATTCAAAGTTCCTTGAAGGAAAAGTTTGACACTTTGGTAAATACACTTAATTGCTTTGTTTCCAAGAGTTAGATGAGAAGACTGATACCACTCTCTTATCAGTGCACTCAATATGAAGCTACAACCAGGACATGGTTAGCTTAGCTGAGCGCACAGACTGGAAAGAGCTAGCCTGAGTCCAAAGGTTATAAAATCTACCCTATATAAAATTCACTAACTAAAATGTAATACCTCATTTATTTCATTTCATTTCCATTTAATAAACACAAAGTTGTGGTCTCCTTGGGTCCTGGTGACGACAGGACTCCACTAAGTTATTGTAGGTACCAAATCCCTATCTGCACATACGTAAAAGTGGACCTGTGTGTTAAAGGTTACCATAAATGTGCCTATTTAAAATTACTCGTGTGTTGTTGCTGACGCTTGCAGAAAGGCTGACAAAGCGTCATTTGATGCAAAAGGTACCCTTCTACATCCGTATGAGACGCACTGTCTAGACCGGAAGCGTTAGTAGCAAGCTAGGTAGCTAGCTAGGTTAGTATAAAAGGTATTGTCAGCTTCCCAAAATCCCTTACCCTAACCATCATAGGGGTGTGTGCCTAAACCTAAGTCAGCGATTCTATGCATGTTGACCGGCTTAGCTGTGCACATCGGCCCCGGTAGGAGCTAGGATTAGCCTCCTTTGTGTTGCTATTTTGTTAGATTGTTGTCATTATTAGAAATTAAAAATGTACTGTTGAATAAGGTTTTTCATATCTTAAGTAAATTCCTATTACATCATAGTGAACAGTTAAATCTCCAGTGATTAAAAAAACATTTTGTTATCTTACATCATAGGCAGCCAAGCAAGCTGTTTCCAGTCTTTGTGCTACGCTAAGCTAGCCAGCTGCTGGCTCCAGCTTCAAATTTCATGGACAGACTCTTGGCAAGAAAGCTTAGTTCCCTAAATGTTGAAGTGGGGAGTGTCTTGATTTAAATACTGGATAAAGAGTGACATTTGGGAGGTAAACATGATTACAGCAGAGCAAAAAGAAAATGGCAGTCATGCTAATTAGTATCTTGACAGTGCTAACCACACTCATGCTGGCCTTGGACACAAACTGAAGCATTTGTAATTTTCACCTGTGTGCAGAAGTCCTAATGAACTGCATTTTCACTTTACAAGAAGTCTTCACATCATTCACGTAAAAGTAAAAATAGCTAAAGAAAAAACAGTCTCACTGACTATCCTTCTATGATACAGTATAACACAGGTCATCGACCTGCTGGACGGGCTTCGATGTTCGGCGCTCCCTTTGCTGTGTGAACGCATCATCGAGGTTCCAATCCGAAATTGGTTGGTGGCTCCGGCTCTCCAGAAGAACGGAAGGTACTGCGCCAGGAAAGCGCCGATCCTGGATGAAGACCAGAGGGAGGAGACATCGGAGGAGAGTGACAAAGGTGACATAAAGTAACATGACAGACCACTGCGCTTGTGTTTGTTTGCCAAAAATGTTAATGATTTGGAGTATTCCCTTTTAGTTGAAGTTTCATTGGTATATTTCAGCAGAGGTGACCACAGAGGAACACCCAGCCTTCGGGAGTATTCCCTACATTGCCAGACCTCATCCTGAACAAATGACCCACACAGGTCAGATATGACCACAATCCTAGTCCCAGTCTAACAGTTTATAGATGATGATGTAAATAAATGTTCAATGTCTACTTTTCCATTTTTCAGCATTCCTGGTGAAACTGAGGAAGTATGTGCAGTAGCTGGTCGGCCTACCTTGGGACAAAAAAGATTGTCACTTATCAACCAAATGACCTTTACTGTAAATAATTAAAATAAATGTCAAAATGTCCACTTTGGTGTATTTTAATGAAAAGTTTATGAAATTGACTCTGACGCTAGTGAACCATTACTTAATGAACAACTCCTAATCAAATTTTTTTAGTAGTTCCTTATGGAGGATGGGTTACTAAAGAGCAGACTGGGAAATCTGTTATATAGGTAGTAATGAATCATTAGGTAATTAGCTCATGAATATCTAAAAAAGCAGGCTGTAATAAAGATTGTCAAAAAGACAAAAGTTCAAGCCTTTATTCAAAACTCAAGAGGCAGGTTTGGTCATTAAACAGGCACAGTGGCAACAATACTAAAAAAACTAAACAAAATAAAACAACACACACCCAGTAGAATCCCAGTATGTGACAGACTGTGTAAAGGACATGTGTTAATCAGCTGAGAATTTCTTAAACCATCTGTGAATAAATAGCCATCATAACCCCCCAGAAGTGCTTCAGTAAATAAATATATAAATAAATAAATAACAATAACTCCATGTAGGTCAAACAAACCTTTACAATACTCTTTGGTGTGCCACATTAATCTTACTGCATGTTTCCTGCACAGTCTGGCATTAGCTCATTCTTCCAGCTGCTTACAGTCACTTTTAACAGCTAAACTTGTTCCAACCAGCTGTGTTAAAGCAGTAGCAAGTTACACTTTTCGCACTTTTACGTCAGTTTAACTGTGGTATTAAAGAGGTGAGGCAGTAACACACAATAGCTCGGCCAGCACAAAGAGTAGTTGCTGAGGTCATGTGATGCTCTACTCCTCACTGATCCAGTCCATGGAGGTGTCATATGTGGACCCACAGGAAGACTCATCCCCTGACAAAGAGGGAAGAGAGAAACACGTAGTTTAGTACCAGTCAGCTACCCTGTTTTAGGCCAATCCTGTCAGTCCTGTAAAGACATGGTGGTTTTGAACTCAAGACAACCCTGATCCTTATGGGAGTTTTTTCCTTAAACTGTCTAAAATAAGTAACGAATGATATTATTATTATTTTGGTTTGTATCAAGAGAATTTCAATATTTTGCAAAAAAGTGTATAGTATCTGTGTGTGTAAAAGTGCGAAAAGGTCTGGAAAAAAGCTAAATTTCTGGGTACACAGACACATCCTCTGAACCTGCATTATTAGGAGTCGTCAACGTGCTAGGATAAATTCCATTCCTAAACATAATATTCAAGCATCTTTTGTAATTGTCAGTATTCACAGGGCACCACCTTTGCCAGTTTGACTTTCTAATCCTGCTTTGTGAAAGACCTCCCAGGTGGAATCCAGCTAAATCACATCTACACTTTATCCAGACACAAATTTTGAGAAAGTGAGATTTGATTAACACAGCTGCTGCTCCAGGCTGACTCTTAAATTCATATTAAACCTAAAATCCTGCTGGGGTGATTTCACCGCTGTGTCTGTCCTCTTTTCAGATGGCTACTAGTGTGTGTTTTTTGTTTTTGTTTTTTAAAGTTTGTGGCTCCCCCTACAGGATCTGGAGTCTCTTTGTCCCTTAGCCTGTACAAGTGGGAAGGAGGTAACTGTTAATGCACAATAATTTCTAAGAGCATTTTAAATTACAATACGTTGGGGATGCTATGTCACAGAAAGACTAACGTGGTGCTGAGGTCACACTTAGGGCTATATCAGGGTGTGAGTGTGTTTACATTTTATTAGGGCTGCCCCCTAATAGCTGACCACACTGCTAATCGATGACAAGAGTCTTAGTCCACCGGGTTTTGATTGGTCGGAAAATAGTTGCAGAAAACCCCCCAACTACCTCAAACTCCATTCTGGAGCTGCACTGTGTTGTTACAGTTAGGATTAAAGAGTCAGGGGGCCAGTTGCAACATGGACCTTTTCTCTTATTACACAGAAGTCACTAACAATATAGGGCACTTAACCGCTAACTGCTGCTGACTGTAGCTGCCATTAGATAGCTCATTTAGCAGTCCTATTAGCTGACTCCGTCTGGAGTGGGAGCTCGGAGCACCTGGGAAGTGCTGGTGTTTGTTTATACCACTAGTACAGGAGCTATGGACCGGCGGGAGGTTGAAGTTTTCAGGCCTGGGCCGACGGTGGGACTGGAACGGCCACCGGAACCGGAGCCACTTGAGCAGGCAACGGAACCGAACAGGAGAGGTGTGAAGTGGGAAAAGAACGAGTTTTAATGTAACGAGTTAATTTGTATGTAACGTTATACATCATCCATCGTACTGATAAGTCAGCGAGTATTTAATTTTGTGAAGTTGGAAGTTATTTAGTCCCGTGTTTTTAACAATGGCACTTGTATGATGTTATACTGTGTTGAAATAAATTTTAAAAAATGTTACGAAATCAGATTGATTTCCAAAGAGACCAAAGATTTTCCTTGTTGACTAGTAGTTTGTTGTAGCTATTTAGTCCAGCCCTAGACTTTACCCAGCTAGAGCTGAAGGTGGAAGCACACTTGTATTAATGATACCTACTGGAAACCTCAGCACAGCAGCAGGAGGAATGCTGTGCCTGGCTTTTAGTCTTCACCGCATTCCTACAAGAGGCTACAGCCTTGGGTGGGGTGGTCTCCAAAATCAGCATGGAGGAGAAAGGGTGTGAAAAGGCAGGGTTTGGGGCCTGCACAGAAGAGCAGCCCGGGCCCGGATCTAAACTGGTGCCACCGTTACAGAGGGCACAGGAGACCGGGGAGGCCGAGGGCCCGCGGGGAATACGTGTGTGGTCTCGGTCACCATACTGTCGCTGGGCGCCGCTGTGGTGCTCTGACCGCTCTCGTTGCCACACGACGTGAGACGGCATAATGGCCATCACCTGCAGGAAAGTGACAGGGAGACACAGACCAAGACATAAATAAATACAGCTCCAACAGGAAAGAAAACAGCAGAGATGGAACTTCTGGCATTAAACCAAAGCAATAAAAAACTGCACTGTGCAGCAGAAAATTCACAGAGAATAACCATTTATCAGTCTCCTCAGGCAATTATACTTGTGTACCTCTTCGCAGCAGCGCCTGCTGACAGCAGCTCTGTACTCGATGCGAGCCCACAGCTTGTCTCGCTGCTTGAGGAAGCGGGGAAACTGCTTCCTCCAGTTCTTGCCCAGTGCCCATGGGAAAATCTCATACTTGCTCTCCTCCTCGTCCTCCTCCATGGTGTTGGCAAGATACCTAGAGATGGAGCACATGAGCCAAACTTAGGGTCACAGTTTTGCCTGCAGTGGCACACAAGGTTCACACCTCATGAGAATGATTCAAAAGCAGAAATTAGATTTTTTTTTTAATTTTATTTGCAACTTACAGTGCAATGAATAAATTCTTTCTGGTGTACTCAGCAATACTGAAGCGGGCCCTTTTGAAGTACACAAAGGTCATGGCTAGAAGGTACTGAATTAGGGAGAAAAGTTAGGAGTCAGTTAACTGTAAGCATCATAAAGCCTCAGAGAGGCTTAGTCGCTTTCAAAACATTTACCTTGTCACTCATTTTACAGCAACAGTCCATCCACAAAAAGTCCTGGATCAGGCCATCATCTGTAACCAACCGTCATTATTTAAGTGCCAAGTATTCTTCACACCTTCAAGTTTAACAGTAAGTATTTATAGGGCTATTCATTTACCAAAAAGTCTAAAGAATGATGCCATTTCCTGCCGCTGGATGACAATAGTTGGGGTCACGGTCATTTTGGCATAACACATCTCATTCCGACACTGGCTGGCCTGGCTCTTCCCTGGTGGGCCCTGGGCGTCCTGGCTGTTGGCTCTTTTGAGCCTGAGAGCCCTTCTGATTTGGAGGGAGTGTGAACTGTTGGGTTTGACCCGGACAGTTACCGAGGGGGGAGTCTGGCACCACCTGTGTGTGTGCTTCATCATGCTTCAGTTTAGACCGTCTGTAGTGAAGAGGTCTGTGGTAGGTTCTGAGAGGAGATGCAGAAGTAGGAGGTGGGGGAAAAAGTTTATAAATAACATTAAATGCTGAGCTGCATACCAAACGTAAGGTTCCCCTCATACTGCTTGTTTAGCACACACAAAACATAATTAGGTAAGTTCAACCTGTAATAAGTTACACAGCACCAGACACCAAGCTAGCTGTCAACCAACTTTAACGTTATCTCATTGTGTGTATTAACGTTAACGTTACTTCCCAACTGTTAGCTCTGGCTCAATAAACTTGGCAAACCGAAAGTTAGATAAAGTAACTTAGGTTGTGACAGAAGTTTAAACGACAGCAGCTAACGTTACGGTTTGAAGTGAAAGTTTATATCAACCTAAACACTTAACAACGTCCCTCACCTCCGCAGATCTCCCGTTGGACGTCAGTGAATGAAGCAGATTTGAGCAACTAACGTTAATTTACTTAGAAAACCATCAGAAGTTGACGGATTTCAGTGTTGCTAACATCTGTATCAGTGACAGGACTGAATGCTAACAATTAGCAAGTTAAATAAGTGAAAACTGAGAATAAAGCAGTCATCAATCAATCCAGGCACTGACCAGGGAAGATGGTAGTTTCGGAACGCGCTTTAGGATCCGCGCCAATCGCCCAGCACCTGCACGCGGGGACGCGCAGATTAATCGCGCCGTTCTTCCTCTTCTTGGTCAAATAACGTTAGGCTAATGGCTAACCACCCCTCCACTCTCTCCTCCAGCCTATAATTACAATCGAAATATAAAAGCATGTAGAAATACAGACTCACATAAAGACACTTTTAGATAAAGAGAAAACTAAAGAATAGACCAAGTAAATAAAAATGTTTTAAAAATAAGTTTTTTAAATCATTACTGAAAACCCACTTTTATCTTTCCACAATCTAGTCTAATAGTAGTTATCTAACGTTAACGTTAGTAAAATTAAAAATCAGAATTCTCTCTCATTATCATAGTATCTTAGTTAGGATTATGGAAAGCAACTTTCAATTTTACCTGTTGATTGATCAATTTGGTTGGTGGTTTTAGTGCTATTACTACAATTTAAGAGAAAATGCAAAACACAATTTTAGTCTGTCTGTTACTTTTCCAACTCTCTATAGGTCT